TGAATCCAATTACAGAGCTCATATCCATAAAAGCGATCTTGATGTATCTTACAATTGCGGACACCCCGGCCGAAACCCCAGGGCGATCTGTGATAGCCAGACTTAGGCTAACGCAAGAACCAAGACACGCGAGAGCCCCCGTGTTGACGAATATCCGAAATGAAAATAGCGCGAGAACTACCCATCGGGAGGCACCGGTTGATGCAAATTCCTACATGATCCAGAGTCGGGAAGAACGGAAAGATGTCCTGACTCTCTCACAACAACCAGGTGCAACTCATTGCTGGTGCAAGTGTCCAACGTACAGATGATGGGCAAACAAAAAATGGTATTGGACAGGCAGGTAAGTTTTCATACAAACATAGGAGCACAGATTACAATGATGAGCTCGCCGGATGGGGACCCGTGAGCGACGCATCCTCAAGGATACTACAAACTGAAGGGACAGCGGGATACAGGAGAATGCACATTGGCGTATGTGTGGCAGCTTAGCACAGGAGTATCGCTGGTCGGGAAAGAAGGCGCTCCTGTTCAGTGATTGATGGCCTAGCCCTGACGTGCCGGTGCTTGCCCCCTGGGGAGATGTGTGCCTATGGCACCAAACGGGTTATGTCCCCGACCACTGATGGCCGGAGCCAGCTCGATAACCTGACCAACGCAATTGCTCATCAGTTCAATAGAAGCTACACACGAGCAAAACGAGTTCCCACAGAGATTGGACGAGCTGGGGATTCGATGGAATTATGCACCCATCCGTCCTCCAAAGTAAATGCTGCCAGTCCCAGCTGAGTATGAGGGATGGCGGCATTGCGGGTGGGCCCTACCAGGGACCAGGGAAGGTGGGGTGGTGCAGGCCCCCCAGAAGCGGGCACGGCCGTTGGGCCAGTTGGGTATCCATCCGTGCCAGCGGCATATGGGAGTGGCATCCCTCCATACCTTGTGGAGTCAGACACCTGAGACCCATTTGGTGCTGCACCACGGCTCTGGGATCCACCTTGATGTTGGGCAACGGGCGGAGTCCCCCCAGTGATGATTGACCGTATGGTTTCCCGGTCCCGGGCCTGTTGCCTTTCGTAGGACACGTTAAACATAGGGTCAACCGACATCGGAGAGCCTGGTGAAAAGCAATCCTGAAACCCATATCGTCAGTCATGCCAGGGCGGGTAATTGGCTACGTCCTCTACCTTGTCTCGCGACCTGAAGCCACAAACAGCACCTCTACAGATCTTGCAGCGGTTCTTTGGCATGCTGTTCTGTTCAGAGATTAAACTAGTGACAACCTGTTTTGTTAGGCTCTGCGTCGGATACGTGGTCCAGGGAGTGCGGCCTCACTTTCGAGAGTCACACAGCTTGGAGAAGCGAGGAGAACAGGAAAATAGCAGAACGGCCCTTTGATTGGGAAGGATGATACGCCACAACACAGACGTTGCAGGAATCAAGTAGCGTTGATTTCAAGTTGGGAACTACTGTGCGAGGATGGGCTGTGTGTTTATTTGTTTGTTTGAGTTGTTGAATGCTGTGACAAACAAAGCATCGGCATCCTCCCCCAGTTCTTCTTGAGTGCAGTTAAAAGACAATTTTATCATCTGCTGCCTAATTCCCTTACTGAGTTCCATGCTGAACTTCTGACGTTCGCTTTTCACATCCCAATTTCGAGTGTAAACTTGAAGGTTGTGTGCCTGAATCTCATTGGCTCTCATCTGTATGGCTGGCAGTATTTGTCCCACGGATTTGTGTCCATTGCGTTTCCATGCAAGAATACGGCAAAACCTCAAAAATGATAGGGAAATGGTGGCATAAAGAAATCTCAAGTGTTACGCCGTTGCCGTGCAACGGTTACAAACCGCCTTCTCCAAGGCGAGAGCATTGAGGAGCCTGCAGCCTACACTTCTTGAATGCCGTGCCATCTGCCTCAGTCAGTACGCATTCTTGTCATTTGCGATGTCTACGTTACATAAGGATCTCGCAAATGCTGGCCACGTCATTGCCCCGCTCTAGGCGATGTACCGAACGACGTGCTGAAGGTTTCATGTACTCATTCGTTGCCTGTTTGACTACTATATATTTGGTCATACGTCATTCAGATACACCCATGTTGTGCGCCAGAACCTGAGCCCTACCTGGATCACCCAAAGTTCCGGGATCGGGATCCCCACGGCGCAAACTTCTCTTCGCAGCATTTAAAACTAACATCCTTGCTACGATTGAATCGTCGTTCTCACCTGGAGCACCGGCTTCGTTTCTGCATGCTGAGACCCTACCGCATCCGGCACTAATGATCCTCGGAATCTCGTTCAACAAGTGCGCGAAGGACAATATGGTGAAACCGCCAGTCCGTTTGTGTAATTCGATGATGACCGGGCTCTTTAGAAATTAAAGCTAGCGTTCACCCAAGAAAAAAAAATTAACATGGTCTTCATTCACCCCCTAAGCAGGTCATTCCGCATGGCATACTGGAGAACTTCCAGTATACCATATCGCGTCACAGTTCAAGCTGGATTCCGACACGGATTCCACCTCGCGATGGAGCTGGTTCAACGTGCGCGAACCCCGTCTCTTGCAGGGCTAAGTTTTTTTTTAACTCTGGAAAGCGATGTTCCATGAGGGATACAAGGTCGAAACAACTCAGCAAGACCTAGCTTAATATGTCTTCGGAGTGCAAGGATCCTATTGATATGGACGCGAAGGCTTATTATATACTAGCGCGCTGGAGAATGAGGCCCGGGTAGTTTCTGACGGAAAAGATCTCTGCTCACGGGCTGAGGAAGACGACTGCGTTCGAGAACATACTCGAAGGCAATGTGTGCATGCGTATATAGCTGACAGTGCTATGAACGTCAATCAATTGATAGCACTCCTCAAAACTGTTACAGGCCCACATCACAGCATCGGAATTTTCTCAGGTCGATGGGCCGTACGTGAACAACCTGTCTTGCAAGTTGTTCATCGAGCAAGGATAGAACGTTTCCCGCCCCATCACTCCGAATGAGTTTCTGTTGGAGGGCAGCCTTTTGTTGCGCGCCCTACTACGTGCGTATAGGCACAGTTCTCGATGTACCCGGACCTTGCCTTTCGAAGTGACGGAGGAATGATTGCATCTGCGGGTTGCAGCATCAAGGCAGAGAGGTTCTCCGCTGCATTTTGAGGCACAGGGATGCCGACAAACGCATGGAATCATGCGGGTGTGGGGGAGTGTGTCTTTCGAGGCGCGATCTTCAGCATTGGTATCGCTAACTTCTCGATCAGAAACGCCCAGCTCGGCAGATGTGTCTGTCCCGCAACTTGTTCATCGAGCAAGAATAGATGAGACCCCCACCTTCTGACATCATTGATCGGAGACATTTCCTGTTAGCGATGGCCACCAATTGCGGGCTGCCACCGCATATGACCGCAGCCCATCGCGATAGAGTCAGCTTTGGCGCCTTTACACAATCTCTCCATTTCAGATACTGCTCGTACACACAAGTGCAGAATACGCCAACACGATCCCACAGGCTCCGGGGGCACTCGACGTTCCAGCAGTCAAGTAGCGCTATCTTTCTGCAACCAGTTGCCTAAATCCCTTACCGAAGCAAACTTGGGCTTCATGTTGAATCCGTGATACCCTCTTTCGAAATCCCGACTCCGAGTACAAACTTGATGGCGGTCAGGCCGTGTGCCCGCGCGGCACACCGCCCATATTTGTGTGACCAGCAGTATTTGTCGCACGGATTGGTGGTCATCGTGTTTCCCTGGATCAAAAAGTTGCAGTAGCAGAATAGTCACGACGTTGTGCTGGACCGCTCAAACTTCTGTTCGCAGCGCATGGACTAGCACACTCGAGATGTCTTCCCGCATCTTTCTCGCCTGGGGCCGCGGGTGTGAAGCAAATGTAAAGTCACTTCAACACTCAATTTACGTATTTCTTGCCAAGAGTCTGCCACATCGGATGCCGAAATCTCACTTGGTCTCAACTCAATATTTCTCGAATATTACGGTCCAAAGTTTACATGTACTTCTGGTTGCTTGGTTATTTTTATCAGATCACAACAAGGCACACTTAAACGCCCACTACGAACCTTAACTGGGGTTCAGCCTGAGCGTTCTGGCTTCTTATCTTGTTGTTTACCCTACTCATTTTATGAGGCGGCCCCCGGCACGAATGAAAAAGAAATTTGGTAAAACTGCTAGCAAATATCATTTGTTTAAGTAGTTTGTATCGATCGGACTCGTTACGAGCTCAGGCTAACGCACAGTGGGAAGTAACCCCGGCAGATGGTGTAGGGTTGCCCCGGTACCAGCACCGCTAGGTAGCCCCATTACTATTTGATGGGGTCAACCATCAGATTTCCAATGCCGGGGCCTCCTATCAGATATGCGCAGTCTGACGGGGTCATCCTGACGGGGTGCCCTGGAAGTTATTGATAGGTAACCCCGCTTGTTTTAATAGTGAATCATAATATATTCATTTGGCATTGTACTATATAGTAATACATGCATACACTGGCGCTTGTCATTGCGTGTGTCGGAGAAATAGTGCCCCAAGGCTATACTGAGGGTGCGGGATAAACCCCACGCTTGAACACAGGAGAAAGCCACCCTTGCAGGGATGAGTCTGTGGGGCCGGTGTAGGTCCCAAGAGCAAGTCGGTTTCAAAGATATAATAATCAGTGGGGTAATGTGGCGGGTAGATCGCAAAGCAAATGATGAGGTGAATGGCGGGGAACACATAGTTTGCTCATCCATGAAACCCAACCCACGGGGTTCCAGAACTCCATGTACCTCACCGAGTAGAAGGAAATGGGAGGGGGAGAAAAGTTAACAGCGTAGTGGTAGGCACACTTTTTGGTCAGGCACCAGCGCGGGCTCTGCAACGGCGCATTGGGCAACGCCATGATAACACATCTGGTTTGCATCCTTTCATGTCGGTTGGCCCAAAATATTGGCATCAATGAGTGAAGAACGCGTGAGAACGCGTTCAATTGCAAGGGGGTCACAAGCCTGACTATTGGCATGGAAGCACTGGCATGCGCGCAACAGAGCATGGGCCCACAGTGTCGGACTCAAGAATGGGAGAAACCAAGTAGCAGACACAGATATGGGTCCCACCAAAGGGTGCAATGCAGGCTTGGTCGCCAAGATCGGATGAGCCGATTGCACAAGATCGCTCAACCTGGAGTGGCAATAGAGAGCATCGAAACACGTATTATGATGCAGAAAACAGCCAAGAAAAAACGTGGCTGCGCATATTATGGATATCCAGCGTCGATTCAATGTGTGTAGGAACACAGAGATAAGAGATGACGGGTGAGACGAAGTTCCCAAGCAAATGGCAACTCCCGAACCGACAAGGATGAAGATAGAAACAGGCAGATTGCATGCAATGCTGGCGTACTTTTGCAGAATTTTTATTGCCAATAGTTCTCAGGGCGGAGTTGAGACATACACTGCTCAAGGAACCCAAAACCGACATTAGCGCCCCGCGCTTCGACTCTTCCCAATGGTCTCCTCGCTCCTGACCCCAACAATCACATGCCTACGGTAGCCCTGGTACTCCACTTGACTGAGCAGCTGCAGCATTTCGAAGAAAGTGATAAGTATTTTAATGATGGTAAAACCCAGTACAATCTGACGGGGAACTTCCGGCACTGGATAATGGCTGAACAGACTCAAAAGGGAGGATGTGGAACTCAGCGATGATGAGAATTAGGGATTGGAACGCTCTAAGTTTCTTTTGGTATCAATATGTAAGTCGGAATACAGATGCTAGGTAGCCCCGGTACTACACACGACTGAGCATTTCCAAAAAGCTGATAGGGACTCCCGGCATTTTCGATTAGGTGATGGTGCAACCCAGTACGATCTGATGGGGGGACTTCCCACAGTGAACGTTTACCAAAAGAAAAAAAGGCAATACGTGCACGTCTTTCTGTGTGCATTTTCACCAGGCATGGAAGACTGGAAGACTTCCAGAACATCAGGTCGTCATTCAAAGATCTTGGTATGGAGTGCGCTTTGTTTCTTGGAGGGTCGAGTTTTTTAACTTTGAAAAGCGATGTCCCACGAGGTTCACATAATTGGGATACAAGGTCGACACAACGAAATGGCCTGAGTTAATCTGGCACCAGTAATTTCAGATGATCAAAGAAGGGGAACCTACGCGTTCCACCCATACGTGACGACTTGAAAGAGTGGAGCAGTGTTTGGCGTATTTCTTGGACACATACCCAAATCGGGCTTACTGTCCTATAACGACCATAAGTTCGTCGCATGTCGCATGAAGATTTTGGATTGAATTGGAAATGAACATGATTGAATTGATTCGACACCTCCGGCAACTCCCGGAGGCCGTGGGAATGAACTAATGGTCCAGTGTCTCTTTATTTTTCACTTTTATTTTCGCGTATTTACTCCGACCCCCTCCCTTGGTGCTCGTTATAGTTTGCAGAGTGAACAACGACGTGCGCGTTCCCACTCTTTTACAACACCTGTTCAATAGTTCCCCTCGCTAAGATGCCGTAGTGTAACAGAGTCCCCTTTCGCCCCGTCAAAACCTTGCTGTCTCGGACTGAGTCATGTTCGATCGCTATTATTTTTAGAACTCGCTCAAGAACGGGGCGGTGTCAACATTTCGAATTTGTGCCTTTGAGGGGCTTGGCAGTCCTGACGTGTGCCGCATTTAAACAAAATGTGTCAATGTTTACGTATCCCCTGACACTGCACGAGCACCGCCATAGATACCTCAATTGCCCCACGTTTCCGCGTTGTCTCCGCGTTGTCTCCTGAGTGTTCATATGATCTTGGCATATATAAACTTCGAATTTCTGCATCCACTGCAGGGAAGTTTGCCAGATTCCCCTAGGAAATCTTCTCTCTATCCCCCAGACCCGTGCTTGCTACCAGTTCAAGGCAAACTCATCGTGCCAAATCGTGCAAGATGATAGCATCGCATTCTGCAACTTTGTTTCTAGCAGCGGCTGTCTCATCCCTTACAACGGTGTTTGGTGCCGTTGTTGGGGTCACCGAGCTTGATGCGCGTAAGCCGCCGGATTGCGTGAAGTACAAGGCCGGATACCTTGCGGCTGACATTGGTGGTGAGCGCGTTTTCCATGTCATTTTTAGAAGTTGATCAAATCTTCAATCGCTTTCGGCTCATCTCTCGCACCTTATTGTAGGAACGTGGGCCTCGTTCACGCTGAACTCAATGAACCAAATATCATTTATTGGCGATGCTAAGAGCCCGCTCTATGTCGAGTTCCAGGTTCGTCACTTTTTCGTTCGGTTCCGGGGGCCTCCGGCTGAGTACAATTTATCCTTCGGGTGGTCAGAAATGCGAGAGCTTAAAGGATCAAACCGGAGCCGACAAAGTCGACGTCAATGGTCGTCTCTTTGTCCCTTCCAAGAAGAAATGCGTTTACATCCTGCATCCCGAACATCCTACGGGGCCTTACTTCACTTCGCTCCACTCGTGCGATTCACCTATCATCGACTCATTCCGTTTCCTCATCCGTACGTCTCAGGATGCTCATGGGGGCCTCTATTGGTATGGGGGAACCGACGAGGAAGGCACTACACCTCAAGGAGGGTGTGGCTTGCTTGGATATGAATCCGATCCAAGTCAATACCCTTCGGGTGTTCCATCAGTGATGAATGATAAGGGTAAGCAGATTAAAGTGACGTGCGGTGGATATCCCGGGACGCCATTCAGGATTGCGCAGAATCCGCACCCGAAGCCGAAACCTGTAGCGGATTGTACTGTCTATAAGGAGGGGTACCTCAGTGCTACCGTTCTCGGTACGTCAATTCAGTGATTTCCGGCATCTGTGTCTTCATAGCTCAATGTGCACACAGGGAAACCAAAGTCTTTCACTCTCAACCAATTCAACTCCCTCGCCTACAAAGGTGACGGGAAGAATCCACTCTACGTCCAATTTCAGAAATGTAAATCTCTCGTGGACACCTCTGGCACGGACAAAATCGATACCTTTGGAAGACTTTATATCCCTTCCAAAAATCAATGCGTCGAGATTTCAAATCAACAATCGCCTACGGGTCCATACTACACCACGCTTGCCACTTGTCCGAGTTCTCGTCCGGTTCCATCGAGTGACATACCGTATTCGTTCCGATGGCTAATCAGGAACGATCCAGGTGTAGGTTTGGTAGATGGGTTATATTGGTACGGAAGCACCGACGTGGAGGGAACAACTCCTCAGGGAGGTTGCGGGCTTTTGGGATACAAGTCGTTCACACAGGGGAATCCTGTTGTGGCGCATAAGTACTACTCAATTCAAGTTACGTGCGGGGGGTATCCGGGGCACCCATTCAAGATCGAGAAGAATTCGCACTGATACATACCGCGGTATGACGAACGCGACTTTCATTAGGTTTTATATGTGTGCTGGGTTGGGCAGGAGAATGGACATCAACTATATATGGAACTCGACGATGTTGTGCCGGTTTTGTCTGGTAGATCTCTGGACCTGACTAGTTCCATTTTGTGTTCCAATTGTATATATCTCGCGACGTCCGTCAGAAGACTAGACCCTGTTTAGCAACTAAGTCGGCGATTCTCGATCTATTGGGTGAGACCGAACTCGATGAATCCGTGAACCGATGTCTGATCAAAGTATGTGAAATGGTTTGAGCGGCAAGGGGCGAGATAATTGACTGCTGACAGGAGATCGTCGTCGAAAACTGATTTGGAAAGCTATACGACCAAAATTGAGGAACATAACAAGGTGCTCTTCGTTGGATGACGATATACCCCTAGTCGAGGTACGCCGAGAATTGCGTCAGGCTGCAAGCGCTGCAGTCTCATAAGGGTGATGAATAGAGAGATCATCCATTGAGGTGGCAAGATGGTCAGTAGTTACATGCAAGGGATGCAGAAAGTTGGGGGGTCAGCATTGTGCATAAAGAGGAGAATAAGCCATGTAATCTGGGGTGTCTCATAAGTCCTGCATTGTATCTCGGGGCCGATATGTGATCCGTCTGGAATCTAGCTCGCCTTGCAACTCTTGCGAGATCCGACCTGTCACGCGAACGGCGTACAATCCCTTCACATAGCCGCCTAAAGCAAGGTTGGATGTGGGTTCTCGAACGAATACGAAAACTTATCCTTTATCAGGACACAAACTTACCCACTCGTTGCCACCGCCCGACCCAACTATCCCCCGGATTCGTCAGCGCAATGATCCCGTCGAACTGGGCGCTAGTGTTGCGAGATATCCGGTCTGGGTTCTGATACATCTATTAACAAAGAATAAAGTAAAGCTCATATTGGGCCGCCACCAACACGCTCGATGAAGCCAATGTCTTTATTTACCTGTACAAGCTCTTCACAGTTTGGACAGCCTTCGCGTTTAAAGTCCTGTGCAGACATGACGATCGAGCACAGCAAACACGCGCGAAGATGCCTGGACTTCGCAGACGGGATAGGGGCGGAGTCGGCCATCGTTGTCACAGTATAGCCAAGGTATCAAAGACGGGTCAATCCCAATCCCAGTATGGAAAGGAAACGTGATGTGATGCCTCCGGAGCCAACCGCATCATTCTGGCTACATCCGCTGATTCCTTAATCAATATTTATGTATTGTTGAACATTAATATTATTCCTAGCGATCACGCGTGCAATACCTGCATTTCTTCACCACTAGCCTTTTCTTCCTTATTGCGCCCTAGCGGGCTCAAAACGCTCCTTTATATACTCGCCCCACCATGAGTTGTGAGTCCCTGCGCCTGTTGAGCTTGATTTGCTCGCTAAATGAGGCGCTTACAGCCACCCCAAGTCTGTGAGTTTAGCCATTACAACAGGAATCAGTCGGTCTCACCGGAAGCGGCGTAGAACACCTACCAGTCACTCTACGACGAGTACGACTTTATCGACCCCCTCTCCATCAACTCCATCAGTTCCGTCGGCTACACCTACTTCGCCTGTCCAGCAGACGACCACATCAACAAGTAGTACTTCATCGCCCACATCGATCTCCACTACTACTAGTACTTCTACGTGGGTCCCTAATTTTTCTCGTCTCAAATATTTCTAATGCGGGAATCACAATGACCAGCTCAACGAGTCGTAGTACTTCTACCACTACCTCGACGACCAGTACGTCAACTACCACCACCACCACCTCGACCACACCAACCAGTACCCGGAGTGTCTCAACTGTGACTATTGTTGTACCGCCTTCGGGTAGCACTACCACTGCAGCTACATTGACCTCGACCCAAACCTCCACTCATGTGTCATCGTGAGTGTTTCATCTTTCTATACCTAATCGTCAATGTTGCTGATTTGTTCCAGTGGTTTCTTCTCTAATACCGGAGCCGTGGCGGGCGTATTCAGTAAGTGCCCATCGGTGTTAGCTTTGCATCAATCTCGTTTGGATCCTAATCCTTTATTAAGCCGGTGTCGGGCTTGTTGGCCTTGGCCTTATCGTGGGATTCATCGTCCTAATGATCAAGAAAAAGAGGGCTAGAGAGTTGGACAAAGAAATTGCAGGTATGGCCGCCTTTGGAAGCCCGTCAGATTACTTCACTCGGATGGACTGATGTCCCTTAATTTTTCCCGTGTTTGTTCCAGCCGCGGCGTTTGAAGCCAATATCCAGGCAGGTCGGAACAACGCTGCAATAGACGAGATGGATTGGGACGATCACTACCCACCTTCTTCTGGTACACACGGCGCATACGGTCAACCCCCGATGCCAATGGGATATAACAACACTACATATGACCCTTACAGTGAGAATGCT